AGAGGGCTCTTGTTGATTTGCTGGCCCGCCTTCACTTAGGGCGGGCACTAGGCTTGCTGGGGCCTTAGCCCAGAACATGTACATCATGGCAAGGCCCCTTCTTGAGGGCTCAATCCTCACACTTCGAGGATTTTCTGAAATTAGTACAAATATCATGTACCAAGTTACGAATCTGTTTGGCCAAACAATAAGGTCGTTCACACGGAGAATCCAATCTTTATTTTTTTTATTTTTTTAATTTTTAATTTGGACCATTTCTCGATTTATGCGTGTCATCCTTGCGGAGGGGCCATGCTAATCTTCTCTGTATCGTTCCAATTTTAACGGATGTCCCGAAGGACAGAATCCAATCTTTCTCATATTGGTCTGGAAAAAATACCTTGCATTCAATGCATTGTGTGAAAACAATTCTGTGTACTGAGCAAACCGAAAACAGAAAAGGTTGTGAACAAAGAACATTATGACCATCTAAATACCTTATCACCGAAATTGGAATGTGACATAATGTGTGAGATGTGGCTGTGAAACCACGACAACACACTATCACTGGCAACGATAATTCAATGTTTGATTCTCTCTTTCATCCAATGTTGGCCACTCTCATTTCTGTCTGCTGGTTTCTGTCTGCTGGTCGGTCGGGCAGGGGGTCGGTCGGGCGGTCGGTCGTCGGTCGGTCGGTCGGGCGGGCAGGATGACGGGCAACCGGTTGGTAGATCGGTTTGTCGGTTCGTCTCTGCATGTTGGTTGTTGTCAGCGGTGGACTTTTCTGTTTTTCAGTTTGTCTTTTTGTGCCGTTCTGTCGCGAGTTCGTCGAACACAACGATTCTTTTTGGCTCTTCTCTTTGTGCACTGGTGTTGGAAGTCTGGGAAATGGAACCAATTTTTTTTGGGGGCAGAAAGTTCTTGGCGGCGTTGCGCGGCGAGTCCACGAATTGAAATGCTTCACGGCGTTTAAGGAACATTCCTTTTCTTTTTCTGCTGCTTATTTTCCCTCTGCAGGACAATACAAGTCAAGTGCCTGTCAAAAAAAAAAAAAAAAAAAAAATGTAATACATGTGTCGCTGCCCAAACGCAACAAGTCCAATAGTTCGTTCACTTCTCAATTCGTTCACTTCTCAATTTTCCCGTTCGGCAGCCTCAGGACACCTCCCTCCCAATGATTGGATTGGATCATCATCGATATTCCTTTTCCTACGCAGGTGGAGCCATGCACACTAAGGCTTTCTTGGATGTATTGTGTATGTAATACGTATGCGTCCACAATTACAGTGTAATATGTATGGGTCGACAATTACAGCCATGCCTGGATGTATCTTACCACGATCAAGTACAGAGTTCAGTCGAAAAAGTCCTGGTGTGTGAGTATTCTCTCAGGTTTATTTTTACCCTCTTGCCTGAGTCTCTACTTCCATCAGCCTTTTTGTCGAACTGCTTTGGCTTTTCTGTGAATCAACGACGGAAGGGTCCTTTCGAAGAAAAGTACCTTCCATTCTTGTGTCATGATGAATATGTTTGCCTGATTGTGTTGCAGCAGGTAGAACAAGTCTTTTTTTTTTTTTTTTTTTTTTTTTTTTGAAATAACAACGGACGCGGCATGTTTTCAAACCCTAAAGGCAAAAAAAACTTGCGCCGGCAGAGAAACCACGCGCCAACTCGAAATGAGCGATTTCTGTCCAAAAGTATCCATTGGGCGTTCTCCCCCCCCGGCCCCTCCCCTCTGACACCACGGCCGACCCCTGTAAATAATATGACACCCGGTCTGACACCATGGCAGTCGGTATTTCCGTTGCCTTTTGGAACTCGGCGCGGTTTTCATTGCCGACATGTTTTTTTTTTGCCCATTTGACACGAACGTACTTGCCCCTTTTTTTTGGTGGGGGGAATTATCTCACTCGATTTTGCTCTTGTTCCATGGGGATTTGAACCGAGGTCTGTTTATGTTCACAGTTCATTGGTGTACTAACTGAGGTAGGCCCATTGGTAGGTTGAATGAGTCTGATGTGGGCGAAAAAAATAAAAACAAACGATTCTGATCTGCACAGTAATTTTGTGTAATCGCAGGCCTTCAGCTGCCGGATTGGACGATAGACCAATGAAGCGAGTAAATGCGAGTGGCGGCAGTGGTGGTGGGCATGAACCTGGAACTCAAGGAGCAGCAGTTGGATCAAGCGGCCGAAAGGGTGTCTCCTAGTCACTCCAAACCATGTATTACTAATGATATCATCACAACAAATCTTTCGCTTATTTGTTTGTTTGTTTGTTAACTTTGTTTGTTTTTCAGAACGTTTTGTGATTTCGTTTTTTTTTTTTTCTGTGTGTGTGTGCTTTTTTTTAATTTTTAAACGTGGAGGCATGGTCTAGGCTCTGGAATGCACACATTCTTGCCTGGTAATGGGCCTTGCTGCACTACTTTCGAAACATGCAAAACGAGAGTGAATCTTCCGCTAGGATATGGAAAGATGCACCGCCATGATTTTTCAATTTTGTCTTTTGTGCATGTCGAGAGTAGTGCAGCGAGGGGCAGTACTTGCTCGCAAAGTGTGTAGGAGTGAGAAATCCTCCCACACATCCGATCAAAGGCCCGATCAAACAGCACTTTATTTTTTTACGTGGTGGATATGTGCCTGCTTAGTCGGGCTTCTTAGCAGTCTCTCAGAAGCACTCGTTCTCTGTTGCCTTTCCATTTCCGGTAGGACATGCGGTTCCCGATTGGCAAAGTTCATTGGACCTGGATGGATTGAATTAAGAATGAAACAATTCACAGGGATGACGCATCACACGATGAGCACGGCAAGAAACTCCACAAATCGATAGAACTCGTCAAAACGACGATCGAACAAAGTTACCGACTAACCAAACGATCCATCAACCCTCAGGGTCTGCCATCAAATCGCTAACTGGACCGACGTTCTCATCAGCGTAAACTGATGCTGAACTCGGTCGTAGACGACAAACTCGATTCGATCTCGGTACTTATACAACTACCTACGGAAACAAGTCTCCAGGAGCCTCGGAGAAACAGGCTACAGTGACCCTGGCTCAGGGGGTCCAAAACAGCTAAAAAACAGTCGAACAAGACCAAACCCAACTAAGACAACTGGGACCCTTGTGGCATGGAGGCCCATGGGTCAATTCCAAACGAGAAAAATGTCCAAGGTACCAAAACATATGGGCCAAGCAAAGGAAAACGCTGTCCGGTGAGAACGAAGACAACTGGAGGGATTGAAAGAAAGCAGAAAGCAGAACGAACAGCATACGCACGAGTGCACAGATGTGCACGGATATGGATGCCGAGAGCACCACTTAACATGACGTTCCAAAGTTAAGCGCGAAATGCCTAGTAAGCGTGAGTCATCAGCTTGCACTGATTACGTCCCTACCCTTTGTACAGACCGCTTGTCACTCCTAACGATTGAATGGTCCGGTGAAGTGTCTGGATTGCGGTGATCTTGGCGGATTGCCGCTGGGGGTGCTGTGAGAAGTTCATTGAACCTTATCATTTAGAGGAAGGAGAAGTCGTAACAAGGTTTCCGTAGGTGAACCTGCGGAAGGATTAAAAAAAAAAAGAAAAAAAAAGTTAATCGCGAACCAAAGATGTCAACTATTGTCTTCACCCAAATAGAATGCCAAGTCATCATAGCTGTATTCAGGGCAACTGCCACTCTAGATACTGCCGATAGTGGCTGCTCATAGTATTTGGGTGAAGATGGTAGTGACACATCTGTGGTGCGGAGCAGGTAAGCTTAGGCTGAGTAGGTCCTTGGTCTTTTTTTTTTTAATTTTATTTAAAGGAAGCTCCTTTCTTTTGGTGGGGGAGGGTCACCTTCTGGGAACAGGGCCCAGCGTCCCCTTTAGGTCAAATGACTCTTAAACTGCCAGTACACGGCCCCAGCCTTGCTGAAAAGAAAACTCGTTGCGTACGAAAATTTCGGAGGCCCAGCGCCGTAGATAAATTGAGTCGGCGGCGGGGGTCCTCCGAAAAGGGCCCGCGGCCGATAGCTGGATGTACTGGGAGTTTAAACCACCAGTACACCCGGGGCTGGAGGCGCCTTACTGCACACTCACGTTGCACCGTGTTCGCGTTCGGAGGCGAACGCGAACATGTTCGCCCGAACATGAACAAGCGGCCAAAACCCTCTGAACGCGAACATTCTGCAAGGAATATGAGTGTGAACGGTATACAGAAAATCAAGTTGCGAAATCAGACAGATGTCTGAGTAGTCGTGTACAAGCAGAGAGCACAATCACACCGAGAATCCATCGAAATAGAGCAATAGAATGAAGTAATGAGCCAATGTCCAAGCCCGTAGGCCACACCAACACAGTATCCAAAAAGTTGCTCCTCTCTGTCTGGCGCCCAGCACCCAGCCTACTCTACTCGCCTGTCCAACCTACAGCTGTGTTCACGCAACAGGCTCACTTCGACTCTCGAAGACCAATGTACATGATGTCAACACCATGGCCGATCTCTCTTCATGCACCAGGTATGTATCTCGTCACCCTCATCAGACCTTGATACCCCACACTTCGCCTCCTTCCCTGAAAACCACCAGATCGCCCTCCTACCCCTTGGCGCCCAGCAGCCCGGCTATGGCTTCCTGCGCCCCGCTGCCCTGCAGCGCCCCACTTCACCTCTACGCGCCCCGTCAGTGCCCTTGGCCGCAGGGCAGCATCAAGCAGTAGCGCAGCAGCACTTCCGCATTGCCTACGCAGGCCAGAATGCCTGGCCTGGGCTGCCGCACTTCCTATATGGAAGTGACAACCTCCTGGATGCTGCGTGTGGCCTGGGTGGAAGCTTCCAGTAGCTTCCGGTTGGGCATTAGTCCCTGCGCCCAGGCCCGAGACTACAGTTGAGGGCCTGGGCCCCATTTAAAGTTGGGCACGGCTTGAGTCCCCGGACTTGGGCTGTTTGCTGCATCTGTGCAGGGCTCCCAGGTAGGTGGGCCGACAATACTGCTTTTGCATAGGCCGATGGCCTGCTTCTGAATGTATCGGCCCTGCTTTGTGTGTATGTGCCCAGGCGCAACTGTCAAGACCTGGGCCAACTGTATGACGCAGCTTAGTGAGGCTCGCCCGTCCGTTCAACCAACTGGCGTGCTGCAAGAGCTTGAATACCCACATATGACAGTGTCGAATTTTGTCCTTGACGAATATTCAGGCCCGCCTTCACTTAGGGCGGGCACTTGGCTTGCTGGGGGCCCTTGCCCAAAACATGTGATGTCTGATAGGGCTCCGTGAGGGCTTGTTCCTCGCATTCCATCCCCCTAAGCTTCGAAAGTCCGCTGAGATGCTTCATGCTGGTGCCTTACCCTTCAGTTTCTTCTCATATTCTGCCACGATCTGAGGAGCTGTCTTGACAAGTTCCTCCCTTGAAATCCATCGATCTTCCTTAGGATCAGTATGATGCCTGAAATGTACTTTGTACTCCCTTGCAGGTTTAGGAGGTCTACCCCTGCTAGTTGACTTGGGAACAGGCATGTCTGTGTGGTCCAGGATATCATCGACGTCCACGTGGCCATCCGTGGTTGGGGTCAGCATAGATCTCCGTGATGGGAACTGTGCTGTCTCAGCGAAAGGTGCAAGCTTGGAGGCGTGAAAAACAGGGTAAGTGAGTATGTGACCAGGGATACGAATGACGTACGAGGGACCATCCAAATCATGACCCACAATGTCTAAGACTTCCCAGGGACCAAAATACTGAGGCAGTAGTTGCCTAGAGATGCCGAACTCCTGTCCCAACTCACTAGCCTTGACCCAGACACATTCCCCTACCTGAAATGTGGACTGTCGGCGACGTTTGTTCTCAGAAGCAATCATGGCTTCCTGAGATTTCTTGATGCGTTCGACAGTCCGCTGCAACAATGGCTTCCTGAGATTTCTTGATGCGTTCGACAGTCCGCTGCAACAATTTCTCATACTGGACACCAAATTCAATGGTTCCAAGAGTTGCAACAGTTCAATTTTCAGGCAGGAGGAAGTCTATAGCAGATCTAGGCTTCCATCCCAGATGCAGTTGATTAGGATTGGCACCGATGGTGCTATGTACAAATTGTTGTACAGACTGGCGATGAGAGGTAGTTTCTCATCCCAGTCATCTTGGCTGGGCTTGATGTAATGCCTCAGCAGATGCTGCACCACACGGTTCTTCTGTTCAGCCTGCCCATTTGCTTCGGGATGATTCCCAAAAGTCATTTGAAGTTGGCTGCCCATCTGTTCAGCGACCTTCTTCCACATCTCGGTGGTAAGCCGGACATCTCTAGCACTAACAATGGTCTTTGGCAGTCCAAAGTCACGCACCTAGTTGTCCATGAACAACTTAATGACGTGCTCAGTCCTGACAGTCTCTGGCATGGCAATTAGTCTAGCATATTCAGTGAACCTATCCACTATGATGAAGATGTGCCTCTTGCCATTCTTGCTGGTCACGAGAGTATCCATGAAGTCCATGGAGATACTCTGCCCTGGGCCGGCAGGAATGGGTAGAGGCTTGAGTAACCCAAGCGGAGCTTGAGTCCGCGACTTGTCCCGCTGACAAACCTGAGAGGTCTGTACGTACTTCTTTACATCGTCCAACATGTTAGGCCACCGGAATTGCTGTACTAAATTAGCACTAGTCTTCTTGTAGCCGAAATGTCTTGTTGCGTCGTGGCACTGACCTAGAAATAAACTACGCAAAATCTCCCTAGATGGAACAACTAACCTCTTAAACCCTGCCTTTTCAAGAAAGAGTAACTTATCCACCATCACAAACTCGTCAGTGGTGGCCTTGTCTTTGGCCTGCAGATTATTGATGGTGTCCATCTTGATGGGATCTTCCTTGTAGGCTTCCCCCAAAGATCGAGTATTGTCCTCAGATAAGCCAAGCTCAGAAATCAGCGCACCTAGGTAATTTGCCTTGCGAGATAACGCATCCGCAACCTTGTTGTACTCTCCCTTCACATAGTCTAGTTTGAAGTCATAGTGATCTATGACTTCAATCCAGCGTTTGAGTGCATTGGAGAGAACTGGTTGGGTCTTGATACACTTGAGGGTTTGATGGTCAGTTCTCAAGTAGAAGAACCTTCCTAACAGATAGTGCCTCCAGTGGACAAGTGCCTTGTAGAGAKCRTAGAGTTCCCTCTCGTAGGTGGACTTTGCCAACTTCTTTGATGGCATCTTTTTRCTCATATACTCGACCGGTCTCAACTTTTTCCCTTCCTGCTGAGCCAGCACTGTGCCAATGCCATATTGGCTTGCGTCAGTGGTTACAACAAATGGCCTTTGCGGGTCGGGTACCATGAGAACTTCATGGTGTGTGAGTGCATGCTTCAAACGCTTGAAAGCTGCCTCGCACTCGTTGGTCCAGTCTCACGACGTATCAAGTCGAGTTAGATTAGTCAAGGGAGATGTGATCGTGCTATATTTCTTCACGAAGTTGCGGCGAATAACCACACATTCCCAAGAATGATCTGACCTCAGTCACAGATTGGGGTTGTGGCCAGTCACGTATGCTAGCCACCTTTGCATCTTCGGGCCTAATCCCATCCGTGGATACTTCATGACCCAAGTACAAGATTCGAGTGCGTCCGAACTCACATTTCTCTGCGTTTATCTTATACTTGTGCTGCCGAAGGAGCAAAAGTACTTTGTCTACATGCTGAGTATGCTCCTCGACAGTCTTACTAAAGATAAGTATGTCGTCGAGGTACACGACAACAAACTTATCTAAGTAGTCATGGGAAATCCTATTCATGGCGTGCTGGAATGTACCCGACGCATTGCAAAGGCCAAACGACATCACCACAAACTCGTATAGACCATACATGGTCTTGAATGCGGTTTTGTGCTGGTCCTCTGGTCTTATGGCAATCTGATGGTAGCCGAATTTTAAGTCTATCTTGGTATAGTACTTACACCCCTGTACCCTATCCAATAGGTCGTTGATGAGTGGTAGAGGCTCTGCTTTCTTAACGGTGATGGCATTGAGGCCTCTATAATCAATGCACATCCTTAGTCTTCCCCCTTTCTTTGGAACAAATAAGACTGGTGAGCCAAAAGGGGAGGTGCTAGGCCGAATCCAACCCTTCTCTGTGAGCTCTTTTAGTTGTCGCCGAAGTTCGTCCAACTCGGCCGGACCAATCCTATAGATTCTCCCTTTAGGTGTCTTGCTACCTGGGATGATCTCTATGGCATGGACAACCTCCCTGTCTATGACTCTTGTAGGCTCCTCAAACAGATCATGGTACTTACGAACGATGGTCTCTATCTCTGGGGGTGTTTTAACGGCCTCCCCTTTCGCAAAGACATACACTAAGTACATACCTTCCTCTTGGTCCTGTTTATAATAGTTATAAAACGCATGTGCGCATAAGCACCCATAGGAGTCTGTTAACCTACTGGCCTTATACTTGGCCAGTTTAACGGTCCTCCCATGAGGCAACTCCTGCTTTAACACCTTCTTGTCCTAGTCAAACTGGGGCTTGACAACCTCGAGGTAGTACATGCCCAACAACATGTCGAAAGGAAAATCGTCGCTTATCAGGAATGATATCTTATGACTTAACTCTCCTCCTGGGTAGGAGAAAGTGCAGACTCCGTCTTTCACATAGTCCTCCACCATCATGCGCTCTTTGTTGGCCAAAGTAGATGCTACTAGTCTACTAAGGCGCTGCACCCGGTCCTTTTGGCGCAATCTCTCAATGCAGTCGTGACTTATGAAGTTTCGCATGGAGCCAATGCCTACGAAGGCGCCGCACTTGCAACCACCCACACCAACTTCCACAACGAAGTGCTCCCCTCTAGGACCAGTACTTAGTGCCACCCAGGACTCACGAGGGTTCCTTGCTGACCACTCACCTTGAAGGTCCTCTAAGGCCTCAGACACATCGAACGTACAGAGTATAGTTTGGTCCGGATGCGTCTGCGGGGTGACTAAGGAGTCAATAACTTTGGCCAACTCTTGAAACGGGGAGGGTACATCACCCGCTTCAACGAGAGTAGAACCAGCTACAACTTCTACTGGCCCTAAGTGTTTCCCAAGATGGAGCTCGTAGAGGCCCCAGACTGAGAAGAAGGATACCCACCCTTAGGAGGGATCTTCTGCGAGACATTCAAATTCTTGCACTTAAACTGTTGATGGTCAGACTCGCCGCAGTTTATGCAAGCACCACACTGCCAACGGTCGTGCCACACTTCCTGATCCAAACCGGCCCTAACCCAAGGAGCTATTTTGTTTGCATTGGCGGCTTGCCCCTGACTCCTTTGCCGACCGCCCTTGCCGGGGCCACCTGCCTTAGTCTTAATTGCTGCGGCGAGGTTGCTACCCTCAACACTATCCTCGCCGTCTAACTCTGCATTCTCCACAAGCTCAGAAACATCATCGATCTCAGTTTGATTCCCATCGGAATCAACCATCATCAATCGACTACCCTTTTTCTTCGATTCTTGTGGAACCTTCTTCTTTCTTCCGTCCGTAGGCGGGGTTTGAGCACCACCCTGCGTAGCCTCTAAATCTAGGGCCTTCTTGCTGAATGTCTCAAAGGTGTGATACTCTAACCGAGCCTCACTGGCCAGTAAGTTCTTCATGTCTTTGGGAAGACGTCTCAAGAACATGGTCAATAAGACCTGTGGATTGTACTCCACGCTTGGGACGACAATCAACTGCTTTACAGTCGTGGTGAGTTCGCGCACAGACTTGTACTTCCTAGCATCAAGTTTCAGTAACCCATCAGTGGCTATCTGCGCCTGCCAAGGGTTGTGCCACCGCGCCTCTACCAAGTCCATAAAGCTCTCTAGAGTGTGGGTCTGAGCCCAATCACCCATGTTTCTGCCGAATCCCTTTGAAGCAACCAATTCGTTAAGCCAACGCGCTGCTGAACCCTCTAAGTAGTCCTATTTGTCCTCACCCACACTGGCACCGTTCTCAACCACGTGTCGAGAGCCTCGTCCTTCTTGTCTCCTAAGGAGGTTGGAGGTGGTTTCAGGGGGGTCTTGGGGTACCAAGGCAATTGCTGTCCCGCTGGCGGGACAGGCGGCAGCTGTGGTGTAGCTCCAGCCGCTGGACCAGAAGATGAAGAAGCAACAGTCTGAGATAGAGTTGCTGCTGAAGTACTGCTTGGTGATGGTCCCGACTCAGCGGCATAGGGGCCTGTCATCGTTGAGAATGGCAACGATGGCAAAACTGTTCGCCTGATTCCTGGCCTATGCATGGCATTCAGGATCTGGTCCAAGGTGTTGTCGATTGTATCCAGTTTGCTGTCCATGTATGCGTGCATGGACATGATGCTCGCCTTAAAAATCTTTTCAGTATTGTTAAGGGTCGAGTCATCTAACCCCTCCAGTGCAGCTTTGTCTGCCTCCCTACCCTCTAGTATGACACTACTATCTCTAATCTCTTTTTCTCTTTTAGTAGCCTGTTTAAGTTCCTCCTCTAGCCTTAAGCAAATCCTTTCTACGTGCTGGAGCTCCATCTGCTCCCGGGTGCGTGGAGGCGGCGAGCTGTACTGCGAGCGTGCCATCTGACTAGTGCCAGCCCCTGACGTATTGGAGATAACATGCGAGCTGGTTTGTTGACCAGTTGAGGTCACAACAGATGTTGCTGCAGAGGTAGCCAAAGCTACTGCGCTAGCTGCTGCCGCTGCCAACGCCCGTTCTACAGCCGTTGCTGCTACTCTCGCAGTCTCTAGATTACGGGCCCTAGCTTCGACCCTTAGTCTCCTTTCGTCTCCTGGTAGTAGGACCTGGAACACTAAGGGTATCCTACCGGTATCCCTTCGTGTCTGCCTCCTATCGTTAGATGTATCTTCACCACCCTCCGATCCACTCATCGGCTAGGCAGACTCTGTCTGCACTAATGTCCTCTCTGGGACCTGCCGCAGCATGGGTCTGACTGGTTCTAAAAATAATTGAAATAAATTAATATCCGGCGAGTTACCTAGACTACCGGTTAAGCGGCATCAACAGCATCTACTCAGAATGTACACACTCCTGATTAGTTCTGCACAGAAGCTTTGAGAAGAACTGACTATGGTAGATTACAATACTACTCTAGGCTGTCTGCTGGGTGTTAGCAGTCTGTCCACCAACCAATCAAAAATAAAAATAGACTACTGTGAACAGATGTATGCACAATGGGTATAACAGTGATGTTCAGTTGAACTCTCAATTGGAATTCCCTTCCCCTATATCCAATGTACATGTGAACATCTTCAAGCCGCAGTGTCTAAGGTGTGCAACCACGGCCCACCCCTGTGCCCAAGAAGTATGCTTATGACCAGCCTGCCCATTGTTTACCCTCGCGTGCAACGAGCCTTACGTCTGACTGATCTGGCTGATCAAGAGGCAATTTAAGGACAGCCCCCAAGAGTCCTCATGAATTATTTAACATCGCAATCAGGACGACGATCACAGCCAGTGGACAGTTCAGACCCCAACCAGAAATATTTATAGACGGTCTGGGAGCGTCTGCTTAGGACTGGTTAGTCCACACACCTCTTCTATTAGCGCAGCAAAGAGCCTCAATGGACAAAGCAGCATAGCCTGCATGTACTGCTCCCATGGGTTGGCATGGTGGCCGTGACCCGTGCTTCGACCAGGGCCCTTCAGAGGCACCGCCCTCTCCTGCCAGATGCGCCACCGGGAAGAATGTTTTCTCAAGATGGAGTGCACACGACTCCTTACAAGGAGTGGACACTCAAGTTGGACTCTCACTTCCTCACGGTAAGAAGAGATTGAGAGGGTAGATAAGGAATGGGAAGAACATACCTAGAGATAGATGCCCCCAACCACACATTTCTCGCCAATTGGACCGACGTGCATTTCGATGACCGGTCAATAGCCTCGGTACCACCAACAACTCAATGCAGTGCCACCTCAGCCAAAATGCCAAGTCAGCATACTCTCATCATTATACATACACCCGCTGCCGCCACAGCTCCTACGCTGTCGCCACAGCCTTCCAGCGGCCGGCCCCTCCACCTGGGCCCCGCTATAACCAGCCAGCATCAAAGTATCCTTACTGCACATGAAGCATCGTCAGCGCACCAAGTACCGATGTTGCCAGCGCCAGGTAAGCGGCGATCACGAACCAGCTCTGATACCAAATTGCAAGGAATATGAGTGTGAACGGTATACAGAAAACCAACTTGCGAAATCACACACATGTCTGAGTAGTCGTGTACAAGCAGAGAGCACAATTACACCGGGAATCCATCCAAATAGAGCAATAGAATGAAGTAATGAGCCAATGTCCAAGCCCATAGGCCACACCAACACAGTATCCAAAGTCACTCCTCTCTGTCTGGCGCCCAGCGCCCAGCCTACTCTACTCGCCTATCCTACCTACAGCTGTGTTCACGCAACAGGCTCACTTCGACTCTCGAAGACCAATGTACATGATGTCAACACCATAGCCGACCTCTCTTCATGCACCAGGTATGTATCTTGTCACCCTCATCAGAGCTTGATACCCCACACTTCGCCTCCTTCCCTGAAGACCACCAGATCGCCCTCCTACCCCCTGGCGCCCAGCAGCCCGGCTATGGCTGCCTGCGCCCCGCTGCCCTGCAGTGCCCCACTTCACCTCTACGCAGTGCCCTTGGCCGCAGCGCAACATCAAGCAGTAGCGCAGCAGCACTTCCGCATTGCCTACGCAGGCCAGAATGCCTGGCCTGGGCTGCCTCACTTCCTATATGGAAGTGACAGCCTCCTGGATGCTGCGTGTGGCCTGGCTGGAAGCTTCCAGTGGCTTCCGGTTGGGCCTCAGTCCCTGCGCCCAGGTCCAATACTACAGTTGAGGGCCTGAGCCTTATTTACAGTTGGGCACGGCCTGAGTCTTCGGACTTGGGCTGTTTGCTGCATCTGTGCAGGGCTCCCAGGTAGGTGCGCCGATAGTACTGCTTTTGCATAGGCCGATGGCCTGCTTCTGAATGTATCGGCCCTGCTTTCTGTGTATGTGCCCAGGTGCAACTGTGAAGACCTGGGCCAACTGTACGACGCAGCTTAGTGAGGCTCGCGCGTCCATTCAATCAACTGGCGTGCTGCAAGAGCCTGAATACCCACATATGAAAGTGTCAAATTTTGTCCTTGACGAATATTCGGGCCCGCCTTCACTTAGGGCGGGCACTTGGCTTGCTGGGGGCCTTTGCCCAGAACATGTGATGTCTGATAGGGCCCCGTGAGGGTTGTTCCTTGCAGTTCTCAGAAAAATCTGGAAAAAATATTATGTAAAATAACAATACATTGAATACAAGCAACTTTTGCCTCGGAGTCAATGTTCAAATTCGTAGCCAATCATGAGTTAAAAATAAAAAACCGAAGAAATATATATACGATATATATTTTTACGAAACAAAAATTATGTTCGCCCGTCCCTGATGCTGCCGGCTGTCCCCTAGCCGGTATCGCTCACCTGCAGGTCAGGAGCAGCCCCCACATGTTCTCTCGTGAACACGGTTCTGGCTGCTACGGGGCTCCCCGTATGCCTACAATTAGGAATAGTGGTAGCCTGGTAGGTAGGTAGTGTGAGGTGAAATTGAGAGAAGAACATAGCTTTTTGAAAAATAAAAAAACATGTTCGACGAGCTGTTCGCGCGAACGTGAAAGGGCGCGGACACATTCACCGTGCTACGCAGCTGCACGCCAAGCTTTTCCGAATCGCCGGCGGCTCACTTTTTCTTATTTCGCTGGCACCGGCGGCCATTGTTGTCCGGTAGGCCTAGCCTCCGAAATTTTCGTAGGGGACAAGTTGCATTTTCATCAAGGCTCTGAGGCCGTGTACTGGCGGTCTAAGATTCCCCGCGTTACCGCTTGGGGAACCCTGACAGCATTGATTACTTCCCTCGGAAGGATTAGCTGTCTGTTACGCCCGTCCTACCATTTGAATCAGCTCCTCCCCAGCTCCCTCCCTCTCTACATACTACCCCTGCCAGCAAAACATGCCAAAAATCAAGTCTTTTGTTTTCCTTCTACCTATCCTATTCTTCTCCAGAACTGTAGTGAAACCCAAGAGCCTAGCTCAGTGGGGCCCACACCCATGAACTGTTGAAATACAGACCCCTTTAAGTTCGAATCGAGATGATGGATTGAAGTTGACGAGTAAAACCAACTACTAATGAATTAGCCTGTTCTGGTGAATGGGAGTCACTTTCGGATCAAAGCGTTGAATTGTCTGGGGCCGGTCAGCTCAATGATAAAATCTCAAGGCTGTCGTCCTTTCAAAAAAGAAAAAGAAATAAGAAAAGAACTGTAATGAAGAGTATGAACTATGTAGCTGGTGCCTTGGGGGACTAAGCCTATTCTGCTTTGTTCTCTCTGCCTCGGGGAGTAGGTCCTTGGTTTCCTTTTATTGTTACGATTGTTACGAGGAAATTATGAATTTTGAAAGTATCTATTTATATTTTCCTTGGGTGTGGAAAGTACAGGGTGTGCCTCTGGCCTGTATTCAAAATTTCAAATCAGGAAGCAAATTGCAAGAAAGCATACTTGCAAGCGGACGCCGTCGGGGCAGTTCCGCATGTGCGGCAGACCGCCAGACCGGACCCGCGCGGCGCACGAATGTGCGCCCGACGACCAGTTACGCCCC